AGTGTTACGGGCATTGTTCTCCCAATTGGGTGAGCGTAGTAGGGGTGACGGGGGTCCCCTTCTTCGGACCCGAGTCGCGGTCACGTTGGTGCGTGACTCGGTACGCGCGAGAAGGGACACGTATAAAGGGGGCGACCTGAGCAGAGGCCGTCGCGCGAAGAGAGACGTGGTTTGAATAAAGATGTCCTACCCGTACCCGTACATCGACCATTACTCGCCCTCGCCCACCGCTTTCACCCAGTGGGACATTACTCAAGAGTCTGCCAATGTCAACGCTCAGCAACACATTCACCATCACCAGCAAGCGCAGCAGCAAGAACAGCAACATCACCAGCAAGAGCCTGAGGGAACAACACCGACGTCGGCAGCGTCCACACCAGCAGGGTACGAAGCACCCCAGGTCATTCAGCTTACAGAGCGTGTTCCCCGCCGTCGAGTGCGTATTCAGAATCCAGAAGCAGTGGCAGCAGCAGCAGCGACGGGCAGCAAAGCATCTCAGTCTCCCAGCACCCCGCTCAGAAGTTTGCATCCTCTTCAGCAAGCGACGCCCCCGACTATGGACAACAACAACAACGTGAAGCAGCAACAGCAACAGCAGCACGGTAAGCATCATCAGCGTCAGGAGCAGCAAGAGAGTGAGGGCGGCGGTGCGGGCTCGCCAGTGAGACAGCTGAACACGTCGCGCACCCAGGCGCGCCTTGCGAGTCACCCGTACCACCGCAGGGTGGTCTCTGCAGGCGAGCCTTCGTCGAGGGGGAAGCGCATCTTAGACGCCGAGCAGGCGACGTCACCGACGTCGACGGGCCTTTTAGGCGCAGCACAGATCGTTATGGCGTGCGGGGGGACGAAGGGGAGGAACAGGAGGTGCGTTCCACCGCCGCCTCTCTCTTTCGCAATTAATTTCAATTTTCTATCATTTCTACAGTCCATCGCAAGCAAGCGCCGGCTCACCCTCGACCACATCCCCCACGCAGGCCTTCCCGCCTTCGGGCGACGCGTCCCCTCCAGTCAGGCGCATGCTCATCCGCACCGACCTCCACCAGTCCTCTGAGACGAACGGGCTCACCGCGATGCTCGAGCTGCCTGGCGTCAAGAAATCCGACATCCGCGTCGCCCTCAACGTCGACCCCTTCAGCGGGATCAAGCAACTCACAGTCACCGGCCGGTCCGCACTCAGGTTCCCGCACGAGCGCGAGGGCTGGTACCTCGTCCGGGAGCGTAAATATGGCGAGTTCAAGCGCGTGCTCGTCGTGCCGCCCGATACCAAAGTACGTTGTGTCCTCGCTGTTCGAATTTTTTGTCCCACTCCTCGCCCTCGCTTCAAAGTCCCCGCTCTCCCCTATCGTCCGTATATGCCCGATTCATCCCCTCGCGAATTTCGTGTTCTCTTAAAGTTCAGTCGACTTACGATGCGTGCCCCTTTTTCTCTCCCGCCGAACCTAATACAGGCTGAGAACATCGAAGCGTCGATGGAGGACGGCATCCTATACCTCAGATACCCTGGAGCCGCCCCGCCCCCAGACGACGAACGCGCGTCCTTGCCCCCTGAAGAGCCCACCATCATCACCGTCGTGTGATTCCAGCTCGCAACAAAATATACTGTATCTCAAAACGGACTACGACTGCCATCTTACTTCTTGCTCCCACATCTTGTTGTTGTTCAAAAGCCCCCCATCTACTGGCCATCATAAATTCGGTTATGAGTCATCCGAGTCGTGCATATCTATTTTCTTTTCTTTTCTTTTTAGTTCTTGCTCTGTACATTCATTGACTTTCGCACATCCCCCACTCCCCCCTTCCTCACCACTCAGCGATACATTCTTCTTCCGTTCCCCTTCCGTCCTCGCAGAGTCCCGGTTGTACTACTTATCTTTTTTGTTGTCGGCATCGTCACTTTCCCCTCCCACTCCCCTCGCAATGCACCATCAATCCCAATTCTACCAATAACAACCACACCCCCCATTCACATCCCCCGTCCTATACAGTACCATACCTCGCTTTTTTGTTGCTTTCTGTCTGTCTCAATCTATGTATGATACCGTAATACTACGCAGTAGAAATCTGTCAACCTCGCACGCACGAGCGGGTGTATATAGAATGTATTTATTCTCCATCTATCATTTTAAAAGTATCTTAGGGCATGAATACTACTTCCAACATGTACGTAGTCTCTGTCTATTGTAGCCCAGCCGCCCGTCGTATTTGGGGCGCATATACTCTGATTTTTTCCTCTGGCGATGCTGACAGGGCTCAAGTTTGCTAAGTTAGTGACTAACTGTGCTTCGCGATCGCTTTCTAACTGGCCTCAGGTAAATCGTCGAGAGTTCGAAAATCGTTCATAGCCTCTCTTTTGAGTTGCAGGCGCATATATTCAGGTTCTCCGTCTCTGGCGATGCTGACCAAACCAAGCTTGCTAACTCACTGACGAGTTGCTGCGAAATCTTACCAACTGCGCTTTCAAGCTTTCTTGCTAAAGCGTCGTCTCTCAGTTCTCAGCGCTTTCCTTACCAATGCCCATCGACTTCGCACTGATGATCAAGACTCCTGCCGAAGCATCATCAATTCCAAAGACAGGTTACACTTCCTTCAGCTGTATTACACCTTACAGACGCGTTACAGAGTCTGCGGGGGCCTCAGCCACCGATAATGAGAATGCGTTCACAGGATGAGGAACGGCTAGTGGGAATGGGAAGCAATTCCCAAAGCGCCAAAGCCAAACTCAAAAGTCCGCGCTGTCAAAGAGAAATTGCGAATGAAAGCAATTTGCTTCCGACGAATGACAGGACAGAAGACTGACGGAACACTAACACACAACATTTTAGCCTTTTCTCATTGTAGGTCCCTGCGTGCACAATTGAATGGGTGCGGCAGACCCGATGGCTGTCCGCGATGATCTCGCCAAGCGGGGAACTGAACTGGAATGGGTCCTTGCGGAGGCAAAGTTGGATTGCTGGATTCGGTGTATAATGTGGTAGCAATCGACTTTTCAGACGACGGGTGCTGTGAAGGTCCTAGGCGTAAGGGGGAAATATCAATCGTCTGGCGTCAAGCGGGGATGCTGGATATGAATTTGCTTCCGCTCGGAAGCAAATATCAATCAGTGCTCTTGAAAAAAAATCTACTGGACTGACCGACCTTCGAGCGAGCTACTGCATACGGTGAATAATGTAGTGGTACTTACCAGTAGAAGTACCAGTGCTGATACATATCCGGGCGCGTCAAAGGCAGACGTGATGCACCGGGATGTATGCGTATTTGCTTCCGTCTGTCAACTTCACCCTTCACTAATCCGTCGATTAGACTTCCCACTTCACCCTTCCTCCTGAATTCATCATTGTGGGTCCCGCTCCATTGTCCGAAGTGAACTCGTATTTGTACTGAATCTGATGGCTGTACGCGAAGATCATTCGAAGCCCCGTCCGGTGGCTGCTGCATTTGGCGAATAATGCTCTGCTGGGTTTTCTTCGAACGGGAATCGAGCCTCGAGGCGAAGGAGAGGACAATAGGAGCGGGTGAGCTTGGGTTGTGAGATCTGATATATTACTGTTACGACTTCACCTGAGGCACTGGCGGCGGTTCTTCCGTTGAGAAAACGAATTGCTTTGACGCGCGGACCTGTCAGACTCAGGAAAGGAAAGATAGATGTGTATATGCGTGTTCGTGCTGCACCAATCAGTGTCTTGGAAGCTTCGTTGGATGCGTACGCTTTGCTTCATCGTCACGTACCGAATGTGGGTGTCAATGAGTGAGCGGATTATTGATAGTATTGGGCATCGGGGAACGAGTACGAGGTTCGTCAGTTCGTCACTTTCGGGTCGATGCGAGTGACGAAGGAGAACGTAAGATTACGAAAGAGACGAGCTGCCTGATGAGAGAGGAAAAGTCCGGAGTCGAGTTGATGATTGTCGCACGACACGCTGTCATCCCACTTGCGCAGGGGGGGAGAAAGAAATCTGGTGATTGACGGTTTGTTCGTTCAAATTACCAGTCAAATTAACGCTCTTTTAATTGAGGACCCGATCAAATACTCCCCATCCTCGTGAATGCTTCGCCGACCTTGAGGTCCGAGACGAAGTGGTGAACGAAATCAGCTGCTTTCCAGCCTAATATTAGTACTGGCATTCGATCTTAGAATTGTTTTTTGAAAACGGTACCCTGTCTTCGAAGTAACATGGACTCAGATATCTTCACCGGCACCCCCAGCTCCCTAGTACTTGCGTAAACTTAACAACAGAGGGTAGTTTTCTCACCTGGTATACTATCCGTCCTTTTCCATGTTCCGAAGCTCCCATACATTTCGGTCGGAGAAGTCGCTTGTTTCCATCGGAGGGAGAGACCCTCGAGCAACTTATACAAGAACAATCAGACTTCGGGGCTCTTCGATATGCATACTTCTACGCGATTCGTGCAGCCCAACGAGCAGGGAAGTCAAGGCATTTCTCGAATAGTCCTACATTTCTCAGCGAAGCTCACAAGAACTTGAAATGAAATCCCTAAAACGAAGAAACCTCGCTAATCGTCATGGTCAACGAGGACATACTGAGCTCTTCGATGGAAGGTCGATAATAATAACGTACGTTGAATCGGATATACATGTACTCCGCTGGAAATCTCCAGTTCCTAGGATCTCGAGACGACGTGTCCATCACGATATCGTTTGAGGCAGTCACTCACGTCAAAAAACACGTCTGTGACTTCTGCACTTCAGGTAAAGACCATCGTACATGACTTCCTGGCCTTTCTTCCTAAGGTTCAGCAAATTGGTCTTGATGGTGGTGACGGTAAGAAGCGAAGAGGTAAACGCCAACCCTTGAAAAATTTCGGTCACACGGGCAAGTAGAGATCCAACATGTTGCATTGAAATCTAAGAGGCTAAGACAAGCCTCTAACTCATAAAAAAACAATATTTATCATTGCATACTGTATGTGATTTTAGTAAATGTGACGTGAAAGAGATAGAGCAAAATTATTTGAACCACAAGCAAAACAGTGCAAAATAGTGGTTCCGCCCGGGGTCGAACCGGGGACCGTCTGTGTGTAAGACAGAAATCATAACCACTAGACCACGAAACCATAAAGTAACTGCTTCTATAGCACATGATGGATCTTTGAGACTTTGACTGGCTCTCCATGTTGTGCAACCAACACCACTCACCTTTTCGCCTTTGACCATGACATGAACGTCAAACTCAGCACCTTTGCATTTTCAGTCTTCCTCATCGTGCCAACATGGCTTTACTTTACGCAGCCCGGCGGGGGTAGATCAGCATCGACGACGAACTCCAAAGACCGGACAAAGACTTACCGTTCTGCGTTCATAGCAGTCCACGCCGTCTACATCCTTTATCGAATATTCTTCGGCGCGCCAGTGAACTTATTTTCCGCCTTACGACTTCCATTCAATGCACCTCCAGATGTTGTGCGGGAAACACTGCTGTTAGTGGCAGGCGACGAGCTGAAGGAGCTGCCCCCAGTTCTGGAGATGCTGCTGAAGCGTTTGAACTCCTTTGACGCGAGGACGTATTACATCAGGTGAGTTCGACTTGGAGTTCATTCGTTGAAATACAAACTAATGTCTTTAAGGTTTGGGCATGACACTTTATTGAAGTGCCAACACTGCGTAGGCTTTTATGATTACGCGCTTTTCGCGTTTCCACGGCCTTTCTTCGAATACGTGCGTGAAGCTGCCGTCGTAGGGTTCATTACAACGCGAAGAAGTGGCAGACTGAGATGGCGGAAGTTTGCGGTTGGGATCTTGGTGCTGGCGGCAGTCGCGGAGGCCTATTTGACAATGACGAAGATACTGATCGTGGACGAGAAGACAAGGACGAAGACAACTTCAGTGCGTAATACCTCGCTTTTCGTTAATTTATCTCTCTTACATTGATACTTAAAGTTGCATGACCGTCTTTGGCTCTTACGACATCTGCTTTTCTTTGTCCTCCCTCCTGTTCTCTTCCTCCTCCCACCCTCGCCTGAAACCGTGTCCCCCCTCGCCGCCTCACTTCCTCAGCTTACAGTCCTCGCGGACCAAACCCTTGCTCGAATCCATCTCCTCAAATACACCCGTGGTGCAGTCACTCGCAATCCAGCCCTTCGCAATAACGTTGCAGAATGGTGGGAGCGCGAGAGAACGGAGGGCGAATGGGCTACGTCGGACGACGAAGTGAAGGAGCTGGCTGCGAAGCTAGGAATGGATCTTGCCGATGGCGATGAGGGCAATGAGCCAGGGGCACTGAGGAAAAGGGCACGGATGGCTGTTGAGGGCTTGAAAGGCGCGTTCAGACCTAGTGACTTTCTTCAGACTTAGACATTGTGCATTGAGGATCGCTGTACTCATAGGTGTAAATTTATCGTCCCCAGCACTAATTGACAGCAATGATGGATCAGGACTCATAACATCGCGTTTACTTGATGTACATATATTTTTCCGTTCGTGAAATCGCGGTCGTGGACCTCACGCGGCGGTGCACGTCCACTTCGAGCTTTACCTTCATCGCCTTGCCGCTGTAACTCAAACGTGCCTTACTACGATGGCTTCCTTCCTCTTTCCAGGACACTGATGTTACAGGAGCGTACTGAGTGTGTCGATACAAGCAAAGAGAAGAACAAGGACACCGTGGCACACAGGTGAATTTGGACGCAACATTCTCGCAGTTTCAGGTTCGACAGTAAAGGAGACAACTCGATATCCGGGAAGATGTTTGCTTCTCCGAGAGAATACTCTGTGAGAATCGACACAGTCCAGTCGTGAGTGCTCTTTTCTATCCATTTCCTGATTTCTTCCCTCAGTATATCTCCAGAGTTCTTCGAAAGTTGGAGCGCATCGAGCGCAACTATATACGCCATCTAGGTGAAGAGACTCAGGTAATTCGGAATCCATTCCGTTTGACAACTTGAAGAAGCGAGATGACTCACATCAATTCGCGATTAGGTGTTCTCCGACTCTTTGAAGAACAGTCTTTTCAGCGACAAATCTCTGACGCAATGGGAAGAACTCGTCGTCGAAGCATTCCGATACGCCGAAAAAATAGCAGAAATGCACCGCGGCTTTATGGATCAATCACCGCCTGTATCGCGGTCTGGTTTCGTGCATTGGAAGCAGTTCCTACAGAAGAATGTAACGGAGATGGAGAAAGTTTACGGGGATTTCTTAGCCATAAGCCCTCGAGCGGTGCGGTTTTTCGACTTAAGCTTTCAACAACCGATACCTGTCAAGGACCATCGCAATGTTCGTTATTCTGAATCGACATGACTATGCTTCAAAAGCTTCAAACCTCATTCTTTTTTTACAGTGTCCAAGTTTACAAACTGCGACTGCGTTTTTCTTTCGTCCGTGGTGTTTCCTACAGGAGTACACGAAATCCGTGATCAAACTCTCTGGAATCGATCATCACTTCACCAATGCCGCGGCCGCATTTGTTAAACTGCATAATGAGGCAGGCGTACGGATGTTCCAATCTGTGGCAGGGTTTAAACACACAACCTTTCCATCCTCGATCGATTTTGTTCCAATTCAAGAACAATACGGATCCTGGGTAGAAAACTCTTCGGAACAACGGTAAGCTTCGTTTTGTTAATCGCGTAGTTTTGTGGACTCGGTGATAAGTCTATGTGTACGTCCAGATTCATAAAGGATATCATCGAACATGAAGCATGGTATGTAACGAAGCTCAAGAGTGTCCATGAGGTAGGTATAATCAATTCGTCTCATGCGTACTAGTCTTATTTGAATTGTGACTTTATCAGTCCTTCATCAAACCCCTCGAAGAAGCAAACCCTCCCATTTTTGCGGAAGGAAGTCTACCAGCTTTCTTTCTCTCCACCGTAGATGGGTACACCGAAATACTCGTCACTCATCAGTCCGTGCTATGTCAATTCTTTGAAACACAGTCCCTCAACCCAATCGTTCAAATGATCCGTGTCTTCGAGATTTTGCACGGTTGTGTACGCCAGCTACACGATCTGTATTCGAACTACTTCTCCAGCCTCTCCGATCGTCAACGCAGCTTGAAGACAATGCAATCAGAAAACACTGTGCTTCTCTCTATCGTCAAGGTAATTTTACTATTCTGCTACAAACGCTTTTACCTTGAAATTGACGTATTTCCTAGGCAATGCATTATCCGCGCCATATGGACCAGATACCGACTGAAGAGGACGATATTACCGATCTGCCGCTACATTACTTCGAATTTTTCACACATCCGTTGCAGACGCTCACATCTTCTCTCGACACTTCCATTCCTTCGGACTATGCATTGCACAGGGTGCTTATTCCGTTTATGCGAACCGTTTACAACGTCCAGTCGAAGTTGAGAAGATCTCATGAGAACTTGGCGGACATCTCTGGCATCTTGGAAGGTAAAAGACGCTTTCTGTGGATGAACGAACAGATAGTGAGGGACCTTTTTTTAACTCTTACTTGTGTTGATTGTGTTCATTTGCATTGGAAGGACTTAGACCTGCTCAATTGCGATCGACGTGTATTGGCTTCTGCATACGGAATAATGGCCAATCAATCGCCTTCAGGGGAAATGGACGTTCTCTTGATTTTACTTGATAACTTCCGTGAGTTGTATTTCACTCAAAGAATAAGCGTCTAACATTTTCGTCAGTGGTCATCGTGACCCTACCTGTCCCCAATGTAGACGAGTATACACTCGTGAGATTGGTGAGATTTACTCTGAGTCTTAGGCGCGAGCCAAATATAACACATCATAAGCCTATTGCTTGCGATCTTATATCCAGCAAAGGCTCGGAATTGGGCCTTTCCTTGGATGGACCTGATACTTTTGGGACAGTAAGTGAGGGCTTATTGCTCATGTTTCTCGCTGCATACTAAACTTTGTATAAGGGACGATACCAGCTGACTATACTTCACCACACTCCATCGACCAAGTTTAACAAATTAACCCTGTTTCTCTCCAAATTGTCTGCTCGTCTTGAGATCGTAAATATCCTAGAAAACATTAACAGTGAAGAACGGGATCAATGCGAAGGTGAATATCTTGTTGGAGAAGTCAGTCACTGTGCACGGTGCGTTGGTTTGAAGCTGATCGCTGGGTTGACTAGGCCGGAATATGTCTTCCCCCGAGAATGATTGCCAAAAGAGAGTTTGTCATGGAAGTGACAATCAACCTCATTGATACCATTTTCATGATCCCCATTCGTAAGCCCTTCCTCGACATGTCTTGAAACAAATCGACTGATTACGAAGGATACTACGAAAAGACAAGAATTTCATGATATTTGGTACTTGTCGCGGAAGTTTATTGTTGTTGGATCTGGGGACAGAAGGTCGGTCTCTTCTTCCCTAAATTTAGCGATAATGATTCACAATCAATTACTCTTCCGAAGACCACGATAAGTTCACTAGCATAGACGGGCCTTATTCTGTCAAGCAAGGTATCTTGGTGGGCGGCGGTGCTGCAATTCTGCTCCTTGGTTACCCTGTGAGCGCGCTTTGGCATCTCCAAAACAAGCAACGTCATCCTACGTTGCTATTCTATTGCAGCATGGCGATGAATCACTACCACAATTACTTCTGTTCAGTTCGCGAGAATTCTTAAATGCGAGGATGGAATCGGGTTTAGAGGTGAGTACTGTTATTTGGGGTTTCTGACGAACAACAGACCATTTATCTCATTGTTGTAACCCATCTGATGAACAGATCGCAACGGACTATATTCGCAGTATTGTAATGCCTTCTTCGACTGAGCTGCCCATGCGTCTCGCTGTCCGACAAGAAGGCACTGTGGATCATGTAACGGTAGTAACAAAAGAGCAGACGATATTCAAAGTGAGGAAGTTTTGCACGAGCAAAACGGCGCTGATAGGGTATCGCTTCAGACTTCCTTTGCCGTTCGACGCCTCAAGATTGACGATACCTTGACTCCTTCATGGGTGAGCGAGTACAGATTACTTACTCGTACCAATTTTACGCTGAGACCTCTCATGCTTTGATGTTCTAAACATGATTTTGACTAGGACGAGCTTTGGACCAACTCCAGGATTTCTACGGAGCCTTCCGACGTGTTTGCTGTAAGGAATGGTGTCGCTGTCGTTGACGG